AGAGGGGCACCTGTGCGGGGTCTCTGACCGCTCGGAGTGTTTTCAAGTAGACGGATGGGTTCCACTGAGGACAGTAAACCTTCCTCTGGTTCTGCTGGCTTTTCCTTCCTCATTTCGAGTTTGGATCAGTCAGTTATCAGGGTCCAAGGTCCCGTGGGTTCTGCCCTTGGAGACCCCGGGTGCGGTGCCGTCTGGTTGAAACCTGCCCGTGTGAGATGCCGGGGGCACAGGGAGCCAGGCCCTTCACTCAGCCTCCCCTTCCCAAGGCTGTGAGCCTGTGAGAACTGGTCGCGCTGGCTGGTATTGGCCCAGTGAGTCTGCTCTGCCCAACGCAGCCCCCGCTCACCCCGAGGGTCCCTGAGAGGAGCCCTGGAAAGACCAGAGCTGACCGTGGTGACCGGCCAGCTGCCAGCACATTAGGAAAGGTCAGGGAAGTTTCCAAAGTGGCCTTTTCTTCCTCATAGGACAGACACCATGGCAAAGGGCGGAGGCTCTGGACTCAGGCCGGGATTGGCGGGGGTGGGTGGAGGGCAGGGTCTGGTGTCTGTTGCGGGGACTGAGCTGGCGTTTGGCTCCTGGAGGTTGTGGCGCAGGCAACGGCAGTGGGGGTGGCACAGCCAGGGCTCCTGAAGAGGCACGGTTCCCTCTTCCTTCCGGAGTGCGAGCGGCCGTGCGCGTGCCATGCAGGCGGTGCTCCCGGGGCTGCACACTCCCTGTTGGGTAACAGCCCAGGTCTCCCTCGAGCAGCATGGCTGTGAAACCAAACTCCGCCACCTCGGGCTGGAGGGCTGCCCGTCTGGGGAGCAGCTGTGAGTCCTCCGGGAGCTGCACGCTGCTCTGAAAGTCACCCAGGACGCCGGGTGACCAGAAGCACCGGAGTTTGATGGGCTGCTCAGCTTCTGTCAGGTCTCCCCAGGTCCCTCCTCCTCTCCCTTCAGGAAGACATGGGGCCCTTTCTCTTGATCGCTTTCCCAACAAACAATGCAGATAAGGAAGCACCTGAAGTCCTGGGCTCAGTACACAGTTCTCACAAATAGCTGTTACTCCAGGGGGCCAGGACCGTGCACACCAGCCTCCCCTCCGGGGCCCTCGCCTTCCACCTGCCTCGCCGCCCTGCACCTGGGCCCAGCCTCCCCAGGCCCCGCCGGCCCCCTCCGCTGGGCCCCGAGGGGCAGGCCTGTCTCTGGCCCCACGGCCCTGGTGTCCTGCCCTGTGGGCAGCTGGTGACAGACCCAGCGCTGGCCGAGCACACCCGGGACGCTCTGGGGCCCGTGCACGTCCGGAGCTGGGAGGGCGGTGAGCGGCCCTCTGCTGTCCTTGTCTGCCCTGCCCTGTGTGGGCCTCTGTGTGTGACATCAGGTGCAGAGCATGAGTTTAACTGCTAGTGAAAGTCATAAATGTTACACATTTACGTGTCCCTTCCCGCGAGGAGGTCAGTTAACACACAGTGAATTACCCGTCTGTCCTAGGCTTCGTTAGTCCTAGTCGGACGCCCCGTTGACTGCCATGCGGGGCGCCCGGGCTCGGGTGCTGGGGGGCCCAGCGGGACCACAGGCCGTTCCAGCTCCCGGGACACCGGGGCTGAGCCAGGCGGTGGGGCAGGGAGGTGGGGGCCTCGTGCGGGTGCAGGCGGCGCCTG